TGCTTGCCACTCTCCATAGTGTATAGTAGGTCACTGGAAATGGGAGACCTATCAGAAATATGGAAGACTGCTAATGAAGTACCAATATACAAAAAGGGTGACAGACAAGAGGCACTGAACTACAGGCCAGTATCTTTAACTTGTATACCATGCAATGTGATGGAGAAGATTGTGAGAAAAAACCTAGTAACACATCTGGAGAGACGAGACTTCGTGACAACCCATCAACATGGGTTGTCACGAAGTCCGTTCTTTCTTTACCCTTCCCTTTATCCTTCTCAAAGAGGATAAATCTTGACTTACAGGCTTAATAGAATTCTACGATCAGGTGACAAAGATTAAGCAAGGAAGAGAAGGCATGGCGGACTGCATTTTTTTTTTTTTGGACAGTCGGAAAGCCTTTGACACAGTACCCCATAAAAGGCTGAAGCATAAGCTGGAGAAACAGGCGGGAGTAACTGGTAAGATCCTCCAGTGGATAAGGGAGTACCTAAGCAATAGGAAGCAGAGAGCTACAGTGAGGGGTGAGATGTCAGATTGGCGTGAAGTCATTAGTGGAGTCCCACAGGGCTCTGTGCTTGGACCTATTCTGTTTCTGGTATACGTAAATGATCTCCCAGAGGGTATAGACTCATTCCTCTCAATGTTTGCAGACGACGTAAAAATTATGAGAAGGATTAAGACAGAGGAGGACAGCTTGAGGCTTCAAGAAGACCTGGACAAGCTGCAGGAATGATCGAACAAATGGTTGTTAGAGTTTATCACAAGCAAATGCAATGTAATGAAGATAGGTATAGGGAGCAGGAGACCAGATACAAGGTATCATTTGGGAGATGAAATACTTCAAGAGCCAGAAAGAGAGAAAGACCTGGGGTTTAATATCAGGCTAGACCTGTTCTTTGAAGATCACATCAAGAGGATAACATCAGCGGCATATGACAGGCTGGCTAACATAAGAACGGCCTTTAGAAACTTGTGTAAGGAATCTTTCAGAACTTTGTATACCACATATGTCAGGCCAATCCTGGAGTATGCGGCTCCAGCATGCAGTCTATATGTAGTCAAGCATAAGGTTTGCCACCAGACTTGTATCCGAACTGAGGGGTATGAGCTACGAAGAGAGACTACGCGTATTAAACCTCACGTCATTGGGAGACAGAAGAGTTAGAGGGGACATGATCACCACATACAAGATTCTCAGAGAAATTGATAGGGAAGAAGAAGACATACTATTCAACCCATGGGGCACACGCATTAGGGGGACACAGGTGGAAATTGAGTGCCCAAATGAGCCATAGAGACGTTAGAAAGAATTTCTTCACTGTCAGAGTAGTAGACAAATGGAATGCATTAGTAAGTGATGTGGTGGAGGCTGACTCCATACACAGTTTCAAGTGTTGATATGATAGAGCCCAATAGGCTCAGCAACCTGTACACCAGTGGATTGACAGTTGCTCGGCGGGACCAAAGAACCAGAGCTCAACCCCCGAGAGCACAATTAGGTAAGCACAATTAGGCAAATAGGTAAGTACATTTTAGTGCGAGTGTTGTGGGTGCGCTGCTGGGTGTTTGCTCACAGGTAACGCAAGACCGATTTTCTGGTTTGCTGCGGGTAGGACGCTTTGATCTACACTCAAATCCAGACCTCACCATACAACACCAGATCTCACCATACAACACCAGACCTCACCATATAGACCCAGAACTCACCATACAACACCAGACCTCACCATATAGACCCAGAACTCACCATACAACACCAGACCTCATCATACAGCCCGAGACCTCACCATACAACACCAGATATCACCATATAGACCCAGAACTCACCATACAACACCAGACCTCATCATATAGACCCAGAACTCACCATACAACACCAGACCTCATCATATAGACCCAGAACTCACCATACAACACCAGACCTCACCATACAGCCCCAGACCTCACCTTACAACAACAGACCTCACTATTGAGCACCAGACCACACCATACAACACCAGACCTCACCATACAGCACCAGACCTCACCATACAGCCCCAGACCTCACCACACAACACCAGATCTCACCATACAGCACCAGACCTCACCATACAACACCAGCCCTCACCATACAGCACCAGACCTCACCATACAACACCAGACCTCACCATACACCACCAGATCTCACCACACACAACCAGACGTCACCATGCAGCCCCAGACCTCACCACACATCACCAGACGTCGCCATACAGCCTCAGACCTCACTATGCACTACCCGACATCCCCATACACCATCAGACCTCACCATACAGCTTCGTGTCATCCTTTGCAGATGACACAAAAATCAGAATGGCAATTACGTTTGCGGAAGACATTTAAAAACTACAAGCAGATATCAACAAAGTTTTCAATTGGGCAGCAGAAAATAACATAATGTTTAACAGTGATAAATTCTAGGTACTCTGGTACGGCAAAAATGAGGATCTGAAACATAATACAGGGTACAAAACACAATCGAATCTGGCCCATAGTAGGAAAACAGCATGTCAAGGATTTGGGAATAATGAAGTCCGACGACCTAACGTTTAAAAAGCATAACCAAGCAAATATTGCGACAGCCAGAAAAATGATAGGATGAATTCCGAGAACTTTCAAATCTAGGGATCCCATCACAATGGTTGTACTCGTCAAGTCACTTGTGTTTTCCCGTCATGAGTTCTGCTCAGTACTCACTTCCCCCTTCAGAGCAGGAAAGATTGCTGAAATAGAGGGAGTACAGAGAACATATATGGCACGCATAGACGCGATAAAGCACCTAAATTATTGGGATCGTCTCAAAGCTCTCCAAATGTACTCACTAGAAAGGAGACGAGACAGATACCAAATATATCTAGTCAATTCATATTCCATGTGTATATTTCGTATACACATGGAATATACTGGAGGGGACAGGTTCCAAATCTGCACAGTAAAATAACAACGTACTGGAGTGAACGATATGGAAGAAAATGCAGAATAGAACCAGTGAAGAGCAAAGGTGTCATAGGCACAATCAGAGAACACTGTATAAACATCAGAGGTCCGCGGTTGTTCAACGTCATCCCAGCGACTATCAGAAATATTGCTGGACTAACCATGGACATATTCAAGAGAAAACTAGACTGTTTTCTAAAAAACGTGCCGGACCAACCGGGCTGTGGTGGGTATGTGGGCCTGCGGGCCGCTCCAAGCAACAGACTGGTGGACCAAACTTTCATAAGCCAAGCCTGGCCTCAGACAGGGCTTGGGGAGTAGAAGAACTCCCAGAACCCCATCAATCAGTTGTCAAGTAGGTATAGAGCCCCAGACCTCACCATACACCACCAGACGTCATCATACACCACCAGACGTCATCATACACCACCAGACGTCACCATACACCACCAGACGTCATCATACACCACCAGAGCTCACCATACACCACCAGACGTCACCATACACCACCAGACGTCATCATACACCACCAGAGCTCACCATACACCACCAGACGTCACCATACACCACCAGAGCTCACCATACACCACCAGACGTCACCATACACCACCAGACGTCACCTTACACCATCAAACGTCACCATACACTACCAGACGTCACCATACTCCACCAGACCTTACCATACCCCCCTCAGACCTCACCATACAGCACCAGACCTCATCATACAACACCAGACCTCAGAAAACAACACCAGAACTCACCATACAGACCCAGAACTCACCATACAGTACCAGACCTCACCATACAGTACCAGACCTCACCATACAGCATCAGACCTCACCATACAGTACCAGACCTCACCATACAGCATCAGACCTCACCATACAGCACCAGACCTCACCATTCAGCATCAGACCTCACCATACAGCACCAGACCTCACCATACAGCACCAGACCTCAGCATACAACACCAGACCTCACCATTCAGCATCAGACCTCACCATACACCACCAGACCTCATTATTCAGCCCCAGACCTCACCATACAGCACCGGACCTCACCAAACAACACCAGATTTCACCATACAGCACCAGACCTCACCATACAACACCAGATTTCACCATACAACACCAGTCCTCGTGATAAAGCACCAGTCCTCGCGATAAAGCACCAGATCTCACTATACAGCACCAGACCTCACCATACAGCACCTGACCTCACCATACACTACAAGAGCTCACCATACAACACCAGACTTCACTATACTGCCCTATACCTCACTATACAGCACCAGACCTCACAATACAACACCAGACCTCATTATTCACCACCATACCTCACGTACAGCACCATACTCCACAGTACAGCACCAGACATAACCCACACAGTACCAGACCTCACCATACACCACCATACAGCACCCCGCCTTATCTAGTCTTTGATTGGTATCCAACTACAGTATTCTGTTATTTCTTCATCCTCCTGACTACCTTAGTTGTTATGGTTGCTGGTGCAGTATGGTGAATTTTGTGTCTCGGTCTTGAAGATGGTTGACTGAATCTGAGTGTTGTCTGGCTGTTGATAATTGGCTGAGTGTTGGATGTGCAGGGTTTAGCCAATGTCTGATGTTCCTTTGTAGTTATTTCTGTGGATTTTTTAAGTGTTGAAATACTAGGCAACATTTCTTACGCTCTGCTATGACCACGATGTTGCAAAAAGAATTGATATTGTCTCTCCTTCACCACAATGTTGAGTTATCTTGAAATGATTTCGGGGCTTTTTAGTGTCCCCGCGGCCCGGTCCTCGACCAGGCCTCCACCTCCAGGAAGCAGCCCGTGACAGCTGGCTAACACCCAGGTACCTATTTTACTGGTAGGTAACAGGGACATAGGGTGAAAGAAACTCTGCCCATTGTTTTTCGCCGGCGCCCGGGATCGAACCCGGGACCACAGGATCACAAGTCCAGTGTGCTGTCCGCTCGGCCGACCGGCTCCGCAAACCGGAAAGTTTGATAAAGATGTTTACAGAGACTGGTGTTACAGGTGGTGCTGAGGTTCTGCTACTCCCTCGACGCCACCAACATCAACAACGCCCCGCCCGCTCAACTGGCGGCCCATATACAGCAGTTAACACCTCTCCTACAGGAAAGGTTGTTGGAGGAGTGCCACTAACCCACACCTGCATGGTAAGGCTGTTGCAGGAGTGCCACTAGCCCACACCTGTACGTTAAGGTTGTTGCAGCAGTGCCACTAGCCCACACCTGCACGGTAAGGCTGTTGCAGGAGTGCCACTAGCCCACACCTGCACGGTAAGGCTGTTGCAGGAGTGCCACTAGCCCACACCTGCACGGTAAGGCTGTTGCAGGAGTGCCACTAGCCCACACCTGCACGGTAAGGCTGTTGTGGGATATCTGGGGCTTGACTCAATTATTTAATTAATAAAGTTAATAACGAAGGACCACCCACTTATGAGAAAAGAGGGAAACTAATAAAAAGTGATAATCAGAAACACAAGGAAGAACCAGTGTCTATGGATAAATATTAGAAAGAATAATCACTTAAATAAATAATGGACTGTATGGTTAATTAACTAAAGTCAGAGCCTCAAACACCTACATTGGGGGGGTATTGCTAGAACTTCATATACGTCTAGGAACTAGTGTGGTTCGTGCACCAGTTCATTGTTGAATAAAGAATATTGTGACCAAATTATTATAGAATCAATAGGTAAATACAAATAGAAAATATTAATGATTGTTAAAATTAGAGAGCAATCATCTAAGTAAACACATCCATCTCCACACATGACAAGCATTCAATGTGATAATATCATGAGTAGTAGGGAGTAAGACGCACAGAGAATTTTTTTTCTGGGGGAAAAAATCCTCTGTGTGGCTTAGGGTTTTCAGGTGAATTTAGAAATCCTCTGTGTGGCTTAGGGTTTTTCAGGCGAATTTGGGCAGTCTGTGATTTGGAATTAAGGAGTTCTTATGAAGAAAATAATTTCTGAGATTTTAGAAGTTTGTTAAGGTTTCTTTTGATGAAAATAAGTAGAAAAATCTTAAAGAAAATTTTTAGAAAATATCGTGTTTGTGTAACAGCATTTCCAGGTGAACTCTACAGACATATTTTGCCTGTTTTCAACTTCGGAAAAAGTTACCTGTGTGAGCCATGGTTTTCAGGTCCAAAATCACGCGTGTGAGCCAGGGTTTTGAGGTCCAATATCCCGCATGTGAGCCAGGGTTTTCAGGTAAATTTTGTCAGTCACAGATTTTAGAAGTTGTTAAAGTTCTTATAATGAAAATAATGTCATACGAGTTTGTTAAAGTTCTTATGGGAGAAATTCAAATTCGTGTTTATGAGCCAGGGTTTACAGGTAAATTTTGTCAGTCACAGATTTTAGAAGTTGTTAAAGTTCTTATAATGAAAATAATGTCATACGAGTTTGTTAAAGTTGTTATGATGAAAATAATGTCATACGATAATGTCCCTCCCCCCCTTACCTCACAATCTGTGGCCCACCTGTGTTTACTTTCAGACCATCAGCCAGACGCCGCATGCAGGTTACCTCGTAATCTTATCTTATCTTCTCCATAATATCTGGACCATCCCTCTCCTTCATATTGTTCATTCATAGTTCCTTTTCATTAAACTATTCAGTTTTACATATATAAACAAAGTCAGGGACTAGCTCACGTTCCCACCTTAGTTTTACTAATACATCTTCTTTAGTATAAAATCAAAATCCCCCGCCTTACTTCCTTCTCTTGTCTTCGATGTTATTCTATCAAATTCCCTGAAATTTCTACCCTCTGTATTTCAGACGTAGTTTAGTAAATCCAAACAATTATCCAACTCTAGCTCTTGTCCCCCAGCTTAGTTCATTTGTACAAGATCGTTAGTAACAGATCAATTTTCCCCAAAATTTAAAGCAGACATACTTCAAAGTTAGTAAATAAGACCAAAGCAGTCGAGCTCCAACTCTCGTCCCCCACCTTAGTTCTCTCGCGTATATTTGTAAATAACCCATCAATTTCCCTGAAATTTTTACCCTCTGTATTTCAGACATAGTAAATATGATGTAAACAATTATAAAACTCTAGCTCTTGTCCTCTGTCCAAGTTCACTCCTGTAAATTCATTACTATCAGTCCAAATCCCCCTGAGATTTAAACACCCAACTACATTTTCAGACATAGTAAATAAAAACCAGTTCAGTTATCAAGTTTCAACTCTTGTCCCCCAGCTTAGTTCATTTTGTACAAGTTCTTTATTTTCCAACTAAATCACCTGAGATTTAAGATCACCTTATTTCTAACATAGTAAAATTAATCAGGGCATTAGCCAAGCCCCATTTCCTCTGTCTTAGATCATCGAACATAAATATATCCGATCAAGTCCCTCTCCAGCCTAACTCTTTATCAGAGTAATTACCTTACCCTTCTCATCCCCAACGTATCCAAACCTTCAATAATCATCATACTGTATTTGCATATTTTCTCTATATTCAGCTGTGTTCTTCACATTTTTTCCATGTTTTCTGTGTTCACTCCATGTTCTACAAATGTTCACAGCATGCTCAGTTCAAATTTTTTCTACCATTTTCCCCGTATGTTCACTATGTTCTTTGTCATGTTTTCATGTACATCATATGTTCTCTGTATAACTTTTATACTCAATATTCATGTTCTCAATGTTCTTAGCTTATTCTTCACATGTTCAGTGTTCATTCTTGTATTCCCTATGTTCCTTATCATGTCTTCATATTCTCTATAAGTTCATATTCCCTGCATGTTCACTCTATTCATCAAATTTTTCTTACATGTTTTCTGTGTTCACCGTATGTTCACTGTGTTCATTCCCTTACTTAACCTCAATTTTTTTTATGTTCTTTGTTCCTTTAAAGCAATTTGTTTCTTCCATTCGCTAACTAGTTCTTTGTCAAATAATATTATACTACAATACAGTTCCCTCAACAATTTTAGTCACCCAGTTTTATTTGCAAAACTATATCAAAGTAATTCTCGTAGTCAACTTAATAGTTCTACCAACCCTGTTCTTAAACAAATCTACACTTTATTCAGTTCCAAATTTACAAAGACAAACCTTTCTTGTAACTTCTTAACTAAAATCTTTCGCCAATCAACTAAAACATAGTCACTTTCGTCATTTCTCAACTAAACTTATTATCCAATCAACTAAAACATAGTCACTTTCGTCATTTCTCAACTAAACTTATTATCCAATCAACCAATAAATAGTCAAAGGAATCTTTCCAACACTGTTCATAACTAATCTTAATTCCTAGTCATCAGAAAATAACCGTGTTCTTCATGTTTCATTGTCATTTCATAACTAAAATTATCCATCAATCAACAGAAAAAGACATATTCATCATCATTGTTCCTAACTAAAATTACGTTTTGTCAAGTGAGAAAAAATAACCAAAGACATCTTTCATCGCTGTTCTTATCTGACATTATACTTTGGGGAGCACAAAAATAGTCTCCCTCGTCATGTTTTGTCTTTTGCTTAACTAAAAGTATTCATCAGTCAACTAAAAAAATTGTTACTTCATCATGTTTCCTTGTCATTTCTTAACTGAAATATCATTTCTCTCATCTGAAAATAGTCATGTGTAGCCTCTTTCCAACACTGTTCTTAACTAAAGTAACCTTTCCCTTCGCTAAAATAGTCATATTCATCATTGTTCCTAACTAAAATTATATGTCGTTAAGTAAGAAATATAGTCAAAGACACTCTTCGAGACATCAAGGACTTACTCAAAGACATCAAAGTTGCACTCAAAGACATCTTTTGAGACATCAAAAACATCCTTTAAGACTTCAAGGGGACTCTTCGAGATATCAAAAGACACTCTCAAACACTCAAAAATTTACTTGCATCCTCAAAGTTATTCTCAGAGTCATCAAAAAGTTAATCTCAGTTATCAAAATGTTATTCTCTAAGTAACCTTTCGTTCATCAGAGAAACTTTCTAAGACATCTTCGTTCATTAAAGTTAATCTCAGAGGCATAAAAGTTATTCTGAGCTATCAAAGTTATTCTCAGAGCTAACAAAATTATTCTCGATGTCATCAAAAAGTATTTTCTCGTTCATCAAAGTTAATCTCAAAGTTAACAAAGGTAATCTCTAACTCACTCTCGTTTCATCAAAGTTGCTCTCAAAGACATCCTTTGAGACATCAAAGACATCCTTTAAGACATCAAAGTTATTCTCAGAGGCGTAAAAGCTATTCTCAGAGACATAAAAGTTATTCTCAGAGACATGAAAGTTATTCTCAGAGACATAAAAGTTATTCTCTAACTCACTTTCGTTCAACATATTAATTCTCTAAGTCCTCAAAGTTATTCTCTAAGACAACAAAGTCTTTCTCAGAGCTATCAAACTTGTTCTCAAAAGTCATCAAAGTTATTCCAAGAGACGTCAAAGTTAATCTAAGACATCATCTTTCATCAAAGATATTCTCTCTAAGCCATCAATGTTCTTCTCTATGTTATAAAAGTTATTCTCAGAGACATCTAAAGTTAATCTTCCTCATCAAAGTTATTCTCTATGTCATCAAAAAGTTATTCTCTGAGCTAACAAAATACTACTCATGTTCTCAAAGACATTCTCAAAGTCATCAAAGTTATTCTAAGAACCAACAAAAGTTATTCTCAGAGTCACCTTCGTTCTTCAGAGAAACTTTCCAAAACATCTTTGTTCATCAAAGTTATTCTCGGAGTCATCAAAAGGTATTCTCTAACTCACTTTTGTTCATTAAAGTTAATTTCTATGTTATAAAAGTTATTCTCGGAGACATCTAAAGTTAATCTTGCTCATCAAAGTTGTTCTCTAAGACATAAAAGTTATTCTCAGATTCATCAATGTTGTTCTCTAAGACATCAATGTTGTTCTCTAAGACATCAAAGATGTTCTCTAAATCGTAAAAGTTAATCTCTGTCACCTTCGTTCATTAGAGAAACTTTCCAATCCATCTTTGTTGATCAAAGTTATTCTCAGAGTCATCAAAGTGATCTCTAATTCACCTTCGTTCTCCAAAAAGTTGTTCTCTAAGACGCCTTCGTTCATCAAAGAAACTCTCCTTCTTCCATCATGTTATTCTTTAAGAGATCTTCAGTCATAAAATTTCTCTCCAAAATGTAACTA